CTAAATTATTCAATTAAAAAATTGTGATGCAGCTTTATTCGAATTGTAATCCGCATTTAATTTCATCTTCCGATTAAAATGGATCGCTCTTTGTAAATCTTAATTGCAGATTATTCAATATTATCAAAATCACCCTCTACCAACTTAATTTTTACATATTTCGTCTGTTTTCCCTTAATTTGATAAAATACTTCTTCCTAGTTACGACTTAGTTGCAGCTGCAGCCGAAACTAAATTTTAAGTTGGTACTTAGCCAGAAAAGTCGAAACTAAGGCGACTATGAATAGCTTTAGTTGTGACTTAGAATAGTTTCGACTTAATTGAGCACTAAATATGACTATGAATATGCGCCATTGTTTTTGAGTAGTTTTATTTTTACTCAACATAATTTTCTTAATTTTAAGAGCAAAAATTGTCCAACACTAAACACTAACAACAGGCAGAATGGGAGGATAAAATAAACTAAAATAGTAAATTTTCTCAGTAATAAATTTTTCGAAAGAAAACGTGGTTTTATTGTGTTAAATTGCAAAATATATGATTTATAAAAAGAATTAATAGCGAAAATTATAAAAACCGGCGATTTTTGTGAAAGGATTAGCAAATTTCAGTGCATCTCAAATTTCTAAAGCGTTTTTTACTTTTACTTGAGAATTGTCAAAATCGGCTAATCCCAAGTAGCATTTCTGGGACGAGCCACATTTGTTCGATACATCGTGATGTGATAAAAATAAAAGCTGGCAGCACTCCGCAAGGTTGCAGAAATCTTTCAAAATATGTTCGAAACTGTCAAGGAAAAAATTGCCAAAACTCAACGCAATTTGTATCAACTTCAATCTTGCACTTTATTATACTACAAGTAATTTTTAGCAAAAAAAACCGACTTCAACTCACATATAAAAAATAAATATATATATATTTATATCTCTCATGATCCACTGATCGGATCTTAACCAGATTAGTATGGGACCACCTCTGAGACACCAAAGTTATGCGGTAACATACATAAAAATTATAATAAAAATAAAAATAAAATATTCCAACGAACTGATAACCTCCTCCTTTTTTGGAAGTCCCTTAAAAATTAATTTTATTTTAGATTCTAATTAAAGTGTTTGCAATTTAGGTGAAACCTTGTAGATTTTTTTTAAATTTTTGTACAAAGTTTGATCCAAAACCTGAGATCTACACATTTTTTTGAAATCTACCACATTTTTTTCCAGATTCTACCACACAAATTTTTTTTAAGTCCGAAAACTGATTCCTTTGCCATTTCTTAAGAAAAATTATCAATTTAAACATTGTTGAAAGCCGCGAAATGTCTTATCGTGAATCACATACATATATACGTATTTTTCACCGGGTAAACAGAAATAAAGTTACGAGCAAGTATACCTGTGCGTCACCCTTTGAAAAATGCGGTTTTTTACCTTAAGGGTGTATTTAAAATTCTGAGTATGCAGATGTTACTGCTTGAATATACCTTCAACAAGTGTGAACCTCGAAAAAAACTATATAATTTTTTTTTGTCACACAGTGTAATTTAGATCGTCTTTAATAATCTATATATTGTAGTTTAAAGTACAAAACCGCGTATCAACAAAATGCAAAGCCGCCTATGTAAGGTTGCATAAATTATTATCTAGATAGTAAAAACACTCATACATATTTCAAAATGGTTCTCTTTTTATAAAGCAATCGCAATTCTGGATAGTGTATTTCAGGACGACTGGATAAGGATTGAGCCAACAGCTTCTGTAAGCAAATCCAATTTTTGGCAGCAAATGTCAGTTACGCGAGTGACGATACGCGGTTTTGTACTTTATACGACGATATCTTGTATTTATATGTGTATAGCCAGCAAAAACTGCGGAAAGAGATCCGAAAACTGAAAGAAAGGTGAATAGTAAAGTGCCACGAAGGGTTGGGAAACGAATACTTTTCCGGTTGGTTTTCTAAAATTTTTCATTCTGAACTTCACATATGCTTTTTCATAGTTAATTATACTCAGAAATTAATTATACTTTTATAAATACTTTTTAATATATTCGTCTGCCGGCATAAGAACCTGGGACCTCATGAAAGCTTAGTCGCACGCTTCTCTGCACACTCTGCACTCAGCCAGTGTCGAATACGTATATGTACATGTTTTCAAATGTTTCAATTGAGCAAATATTTTAAAATTATTGTTTTCAAATAAGGTGATATTTTTCGGTAGTTTTCGGATACGAATATTATATTAAATATTAAAATTTTACCAAAGTTAAAAAATACAAAGATTCGCAAGCACGAAATGGCAATACCGCTCAACAATATTTGTATATTTGTCACTGGCATTTGTCATCAAGTGGCAAATCAGATATTTGGTCATTGGCGTAATTTTGATTTCGCTTATGTAGCAGCATTGCGTTCACACGATTTGGCCACCAGGTTGGGTTTTCATTTGCCACAAGAAGGCAAATATTTGGCTTTTCTGATAAATGACGAATGTAATTTAGAGTTCACATGATTTGTCTATCAATTTGACACATTTTTAGCCAAATCGTGTGATCCCAGCTTAAGTATACCACGCCATAAAAGCGAAAGTGGAAATATTAATAAAGATATTTTCTTGTGCTCATTGGGACTGATTGCAGAAAAAGTACACAACCTTACAAAAAATTATCATTTTTAAAAAACGAAATGTAAATAAATTGCGATATTGAAGACATATTTTTAAAGTTTAACCGATATAATGATTAAGAAGACTGATTGGAGAAAAAAGTAAAAAACATTCCGCAAAATTTAGATATTTAAATAACCAAATGTAATTAAATTGCGATATTGAAGATATAACTTTTAAATGTAACCAATATAATGATTAGCAAAACTGATTGGAGGAAAAAGTAGAAAACATTACTAAAAAATTTAAATGACAAAAAAACCAAATGTAATTCAATTTAAGATATTGAAATTGTAATCTTTAAATGCAACAAATATAATAATTTTTAAAAGATTAATTTATATGCATTAAACCAATTGCATCTTTACTATTTGTATAATTCTTCATATAGTCCCTTTAAATAGAGGATTTGTTTGAATTCCATTCATTTTGTTTAATACATCCTGGAATTTCAATGAAACCATGGTTTATTTTGAATATTTGGGAACATTTCTTCAAAGATTTCAAAAATATTTCTTTGGCAAGAATTTTATGTGAATATCCATTTATTTCATTTTTAATATTTATGTGGCCATAAAAAGTTAATTCATTGTCTATTGTGTAGATCAGTGGAATCTTCTTTATATATTTAATTCAATTTGTATACAAAAACGCATTTCAGCACTACCAGACTACTTACTTTTCCTACTACCCAAAAGGAGATAAAATTGTTACCCGCTTCTCTTTCCTTGTCAAATGCAGCCTTACAAGGCAGTCGATTGACACAAATGTCAATATTTATCCAACCTTGTATTATTGAATCATGACATAAAGGCTATTTATTTGAAGCAAGTTAAAAGAAACAATGGCAGAATGTCTGTTTGTGTATAACTTCATTTGTCAGGGCTACCAAACTTTACGGCCAAATTATCAGGGAAACAAAACAAACAGAACGGATAATAATTGAACCAGATTTCTATCAGGATCATATCGTTGTTGAATTTGAGTGCCAAATTTGCATGCGGATCCCGATTATTGCCCAAGAAAACATAGCTGGAGTTGCGACAGAGTTGCATTGGCTTCAGTTTATAAAATTTATTCAGTGAAATCGCTGTAGAAATTTCAGAAATGTGTAAACGAGTTTCCTTGCAAATTTTGACATTTCATTTATAAGGTTCACACAATTATAAGTTTATACGGTTTACAATGCATTTATAAGGTTTGATGAATACCCTTAATAACACAAATTTGCGTTATTGCCGTTTGTGTTATTGGGTACATATCGATCAGATAGGCATCATGCCATTTTGACAGCATGCATGATAAATCGGGACAAAACTTAAAAACGAAATTTGACAACTTGTAAGACACATTTAATAGAAGCTGAAGACGTGGGGTAACTTCCGAAATCTTCAACATAACCTTCAAGCTTTGTTTTTATTTATTTATTTTTTTTTTTTTTTATGCAAACACACTCACTCTGACATGTAACCAACCAAAAATACTTAAAAATTAATTAAAGTCAACAATATCTTTGGTTGTCAAACACACTACAGCTGCTCGTCTAACACATTTACCAGCAAAACAATCTTCGGACTAAAATCGGTAACTTCTGACTAATGGGTCGACTACGGATGGCAACCGAACTTCAGAGGCCTGATTTGCTATATTGGCAACTGCATTTTGTGGTTGCCGCGGAAATTTTGATTGAGATAATTTATTTATTTTTTTCAACTGCTTCTTCAGTTTTTTTGAGGACAGTATGCAGCTCTCAAGAAAATCAAAAACTCCATATAAATTGAGTCAAATTTCCTTAAGGCAGTACGCAGTTCTTAGGAAATTTGCTACGCTTTCTACTACGGTTTTCTAAAGTTTTTATGAGGAAGGAGTGCGGCAACAAGCTGTGAAGTATCAGATGTCAAAATTCCTTGGACACGTGTGATATAATAGCAAATTTTTTCTTGACCGTTTTCTGGAGAGCTGCATATGGCCATCACACTCAAATATGCTGGTATTTAAAAATTTCATTGTCTTCAACTTTAGAGCACTTAACTAAATATAGTAGCTATACATAATATACATTTGGATTTCAGTGGCGTTGCCCATCGGCATCTCAACTGCGGTTGCGTTGCAATCCATAATCGGCCCATAAGAAAGTACATCGGTTGCTCTCTTAACAGTTTCATATATTAATAAATTTGGTTTAAAAAAAAGTTAAGTTCCGACGCGTACGGGATCGCAACTGATATTTCGAACAGTGATTTTAGAAAATATCATGGGATGAGTTGTTTTGTCATTGGCTTAGGAATAAGGTTGTATTGCAGTAAAAACCTATTACAATATTTTATTTTTTTTTCAGGCAACTATGCATCACAAACACAGCCCATACAGATCTCCGTAAACCACCCTTTTATTTTTTTCGTCATCGATCGCGATCTTGATGTTGCTGTAATGGCTGGCCGTATCTTGAATCCTCTGAATGTGCGAATACAGTAACATAAAATAATGTACGTACTATAGTGTCGCCTTTTTGGATATATTGCGGAAATAAAACAATATGTTAAAATCGAGAAAATAAGTCCCGGCTTCACAGTGGAGAACAGTGTTGCCAGAACTTTTTGGACGAACCGGCTAAATTGGCAAATAAAACCGGCTAAAAACGGCTAAAATGTTTCAACTAAATTTCACATGTTTTATTTAAATAAATCACGAGTAAAAAGACTATTTCTTGGAGAGAAGTTACAAATTCGAGCCGGAAAAAATTTTGCCAGCAAGAATTTGCAATTAGGAAAAACATATGATTGTGGCACATGGTTGGCTTTTTTGTCGACGATAATTTGAATAAACAAGTTCGTTAAATTTAAAAACTTACAAACTGGAGCGATTTTAAAATGAAAAATGTAAGTTAATACTTGTTTACTTAATTAATTTAGTTAATTCCAATGATTTGAAAGGTACTCGGCAAAAAAAAAACTATCTCTTACTATTACTATCTGATATTTTGAGTGATAATTGTCTTCCCTACAAGGCCTTTTCAGACTGACCGATTCTCAATACAATCAGATAGAAACCAATACACATAAAAAACGCTGTAAAAATTTCCCTTCAATTTTAAGGAAGTAAAACAACGACCTTAAGTTAACATCAACCGAGGCCATATGTTGACAAGGGATGCAAAATCACAGTTAGACAAAAGAACTGGTCAGATTTTTCAGAAATCCCTTCAATTCTGATGTAAAATATGATGCCAAAAGACTGCAGATCTCCCATTTAGATGACCGGTCATATGACCGGCAGATGTCTCGTAGGATTCCCAGAGAAGTTTGTTTTACATAGAAATTTGTGCTCTTTTATTTTCATTTTGACTCACTTCAGTGTTGGTTCCGTTAATTCAAGTTGGCATTCGGTTTTTGGAATTTAAATAAAATCTCAGCAAAAAAGTTTGTTTAAAAAAATACATATGTGTACATAGTGCTTGAAAATATCTATTTTTCCCTTACCTTAAACCTTTGGGAGTGGGCAAAAATGATGTTTTGTAATTTAGGCAGAATTGAATATGCACTATCTGGGGGGACAATATCTACATGTAATATTTATTCTGTTTGTTGGCACTATATCCAAACACAGACGAATCTTAAGTGTCTTTAGAGTGAAACAATTTCTTATTTTCTAAGTTTGCAAATACAACTTCACACTTAAAATTAAGACATTTATAACAAACATTTTATGAAGAAAATCCCTTCTTTGTTTAAAATAAAAATAAGCAAAATCGGCCCAATTTCATGCAACCCTGCCTGACATGAAAATTTTCTCCACGATAAGGCTAGTAGCCATTTCAAACAGATTTGGGTCGCATAGTCAAAAATGGAAACATATATACATATTTGAAATTTAAGAAAACAAGACAAATAGTAAAATCGGCTAAAAACGGCTAACAAATCGACTGCCGGCTAAATCGAAATTTCTCCGGCTGTTTGCTATCGAAACCGGCTAAATCTAGCCGGAAAACGGCTAAAATGGCAACACTGGTGGAGAATTAACTCACATTCGGACACGACAGTGAACCCAGATCTATATCTGGCTAAGGACTGTCACTCCAACAGACTCCCTAAAACTGTGCTCACATGAGGCGATTTTGAGGCAATTTTAGAGGCGATAAGTTGAATCAAAAGTTGGCTGCCCGCAAACTGAAAACCCGTACCCGCCAGGCGATTATTGCTTTCAATTTAAAAGTTGCCTGTAAAATCGCGTCATGAAAACACCGTAGAAACTCTTTGGGGAGTCTTATAGCCCAGTTATGCATACTTAGCTTTGCATGAGAGTTGTCACATAAAAATCTGTTAAACGGGCTTTGCGTGTAAGCGGTTACCCAACGCATAGCACTTAACATGTGCTGTTGGGTTTTGATTTTTACGTAAAAATGGTATAGCAGTGCAAGTATGCATAACTGGGCATTTTTGATTACAGAAAACAAGGAATCTGAATTTTGGTATAAAAGTTCTGGAATATATTGGTTCGATTGCTATTGATTGGCTTGATTATTATTTATTACTCATACCAAATTTCAGCCGGATTCATCAAGTAGATCGCTAGAAAGCAATCTTTTTCTGAGTTGATACTTAAAAATTGTTTCAACAATAACTAAAAGCAAGTAAGAAAGTCTAAGTTCGGGCAGAGCCGAACATTAAATACCCGGCGCAGGTACTAAGTATATGATTTTCACCTTTGCAAAAGCTACCACTACATGGTAAGCCGGTGTGTATCAATTTTGAGTAAATTATACTATGTCTCCATTGAGAGATTTATTTATTAAGATTTAATAAATCCAGTTGCTAAATCACAACCGTTTCCATTACCATTACGAGATATGTTTGACATTCACATTTTTAAATATTTGACGTTTGCTTATGTATGATTTTACAAATACAGTTGCGGACCTTGATATACAGACAGATAAAAGGAAGGTACCAAGCGGAATTTCATTATATGAATTCTGAATATTATTGGCTTCTTATTCGTAGTAAATATGTATGTATAATATATAGTTTGGAAAGTGTAAAGAATGGTACCATATTCCGAATCATTTTCCCGAATTTAAGAAAAATTATCAAAACGGTAAAAAACATTCGCGGAAAGAAAAATTTTTGTAGAACTCTCTTATTCATAGGAGGGAACCGAAAATCCAATCGTGGGCCTTTGGCATGTCATGAATACGAACTGAGTTCTAGAGGATGTTCGGTGCAATGTTATCGAAGCAGAACCATTACCGAAATTTATAAATTTTTTGTCGCAGCGCGTAAATGACTTATAGAAAGCGGAGAAGACTCTGCATGATATTACTATAAAACATTTCTTCTAAATTTTTAGTTTTAAAAATAACATTTTCTTAATTTATTACAACCAAAGTTATGTAAATATGTATTACTAATTTTCCTCCCAAACTAACAAAAATATAACTAGTAAATTTTAGCAAAAAAAAAACCGACTTCAACTCCCATATAAAAAAAAAATATATATATATATATATCTCATGATCCACTGATCGGATCTCAACCAGATTAGTATGGGAGCACCTCTGAGACACTACCTTTCCGATGCAAAAGAATTATCGAAATCGGTTGACGTGGTCCAAAGTTATGCGGTAACATACATAACAAAAAAAAAAAATAAAATATTCCGACGAACTGATAACCTCTTCCTTTTTGGAAGTCGGTTAAAAATACCTAAAAATACGAAAATTCATGTTTTTATGATAGGCTAGATTTCAATGTCCTCAACTGTATATTGAAAACACAAATGTCACTTGACTTATGGCATGTGAATTTGTGGTTGCCACATCCAACAAATTGTACTTATTGATCAATATTATTGAAGATTTGACGAAGATTTAAGTTAAATCTACTGCCTTTCGAGATTTAATTTTATATGATAAATCTCCAAAGATTTAACGTCAAATGTCGTCAGAGGGCTAAATCTTCATTAAATCTCACAATGGAGACATAGTATTAGCGTCCTTAAATTTCGAAATATTGAAGTTTCGAGCATTTCTGAAATTTGCCGTTATATGAAAAGTGGTCGTAATTTGAATCTGATTCCAATAATTTTCAACGTTTTGCTTCTATGTGGCAAGCACAATAACCATACCGAGTTTGGTACAAATTGGTAGAACGGTTACCGAGATACATGTATGTGATCATAAGTGGGCGGCGCACACGCCCATTTTCCAAAATTTTATCATAAACGTATTTCTTGGTAAAGAATTGTTGCAGGCATCAATTTTGAGTAAATTATCTTTAATATTTATTGATTTGTCGAAGATTTCGTATTTCTCCAAATTACCGTTATATGGGAGGTAGGCGTGGTTATTGTTCGATTTTAAAAATTTTCGGCCATTTGGTATGCTGTAGCAAGGCTAACAACTGTGCCAAGTTTGGAAAAAATTGGTGCAGCGGTTACCAAGATATGCACATGTATCCATAAGTGGGCGTGGCTACGCCCATTTTCCAAAAATGTTTAATATTCTTATTTTTTGTCTAAAAATTATTGCAAATATCAATTTTGAGTGAATAATCTTCAGTAGTTACTAAAATATCGCAGTTTTCGTATTTTTAAAAATTACCGTTATATTGGAGGTAGGCGTGGTTATTGTCCGATTTCGCCCATTTTCAATACCATCCGTCCTACGCCCGAAAGAAGTGCACATACCAAGTTTCGTTAAGACATCTCAATTTTTACTCGAGTTATCGTGTGCACAGACGGACGGACAGAAAGTCACCGCTTAATCGATTCCTCTTTTCATTCTGATCATTTATGTATACATTTGTCTATGTCTATCTCGATTCGTTTTGCCTGTTACAAACAACCGTTATGTGAACAAAGTTATAATACCCTTGTGCATAAGTGCGCTCGGGTATAAAAATTTAGAATCTTCATATATATCATAAATTCTACAAAAAGATTTAAAAAAATCATAAATATTTCCACCAGTGATAATAAAGTGGCCCACTTCAGGAATTTTGACTCATATGTATCTTCATTTACTAATAAAAATAATACTTCAAAAACTCGATTTACTTGAAGAAAAGGGCTATAAGAAGGTTTTCCTCTCGTGTAAAATTGGTAAAGTGGACTTTACAACTTTTTACTCCAAAATAGCGATTAAATAAAAATATTTAATTTCGAATTGCTTGCATTTTAGGCAATTTTTTTTATTTAAGTAAGCAAATTTTTATTTGAACTGTCTGCATTAATTTTTATGAGTTCATTTACTTTTCATTGGGCGGGGTTTTAACGTGGCGGGACCCAAACCTTGTGCACGCGAAGGTTTACGCCTTCTCACTCGCTCGCTCCCAAATGGGTGCTTGGTTGCTACCCAGAGGATATGTGAGTATAAATATCCGGGCGTTGTGAGCTGCGATTTGAACCGTACGCACAAGGATCACTTCTGGTCACTCCCAGGTGAATGATAGTCAAAATCTTTCTAATTCTGCTTACGGAACCATTCATTTAGAACGGAAAAATACCGCACTTTTCAAAAGCCAACAAAACGCCTTCAAATAAAATATTTGCCTATTTTAAACTTTGAGGCGCTTAAGGCAACTGAAGCAAAGCTGTCATTTGGCCAGGCTTCATACGTTTTAGTATGTATATTCCAAATAATTTTTGACAGTTTTCAATGCGAAGCAGGCCTGCATTGGGCCAGTATCTTTAAGGCCTGTTTAAAAACCACTTTGGCGTTGCATTGGCGTTGGCGTTGCTTCGACAGCTGACTATGAATACATGCATTTATATGAAAGTCTCCACATAACTAAAGTTGAGCAACGCAAACGCAAAAACAAAACAGAGAGATGGCAACTCTCAACTTTTCGCGTACGTCGTTCGTCAGGTGTTCCAAATAATCAAAATTATGTGAAATAACTTTCCTTTTTAATCAAATGCGGGCAAGAAATATAGTTTTTAATGCAATTATTGATATACAATTTTGATTTATCTGCGGCTAGTATGTTAATGTTACGATAAATTTTCTCCAAAGTCTCGAAAAATGTTTCTAGTTCACGAAATTCTTAAATTATTTTATATTAAAGTTAATTACTTTGAGTTAAAGATTTTCTTAAGTAAAATTGTGTCAGCAATTTTGCAGCCACTTTGTATGAGATATGTACCACAAAATGTATTAAAATATTTTACTAAAGGCGCGCCCCTCAGTATCTCGGAAACTAAAGGAGATATCCAAAAAATTATAACACCAATCAAAATATTCTATTTTAAAAGATATAACTGCATCTATACCTAAAAATTGTCAAATGGCACTTACGAAAATATGTAGTATAATGCTTTTAACATAACAGCTTTTTATTATAACATAAAATGGTTTTTGTTTTTGCTAATAGTTACATATACCCGTTAGGGCTAAATACGTTGATCAAATAAATTATAGTTTGTGAAGATTTTCTACATTAACCTCGTAAGCTTCTAACCACTTACATATTTCTAGAGTCCGACCGATTAATCGGCATCGGCTAGTATCGGCACAAAATTGATTCTTTGCCGATTCTTTGGAATTTCTTTTCAAATGTTCAGGTGAAGCGACAGCCAACATTGAAAAACATTTGCAGACAGCTCACAAAAATGATTTTTTTTGTTGAAGGTGTTTCACGTTTTTTCCATACAAAAGTATGTGCGACAATTTTCTTTTGTATGGAGAACACTGCCAGCAAAAAAATTGCCAAAAATTAACGGAATTTTATAGCAGCTTGAAACTTGCACTTCATTATACTAGAATGAAATGGTCTACAAAACTGCATACCACAATTCTGATTTAAAAGTTTGAAATTTTGGTGAAAATAAGCAGAATTTTTCTAATTTTTGTACAAAGTTTGAAATCTGAATTTATATGGTGTTTCTTGTATACCAGCTAGACATTTATAACAAACAAGTAAGAAAGTCTAAGTTCGGGCAGAGCCGAACATTAAATACCCGGCGCAGGTACTAAGTATATGATTTTCACCTTTGCGAAAGCTACCACTACATGGTAAGCCGGTGTGTATCAATTTTGAGTAAATTAGCGTCCTTAAATATCGAAATATTGAAGTTTCGAGCATTTCTGAAATATGCCGTTATATGAAAAGTGGTCGTAAAATGAATCTGATTCCAATAATTTTCAACGTTTTGCTTCTATGTGGCAAGCACAAAAACCATACCGAGTTTGGTACAAATTGGTAGAACGGTTACCGAGATACATGTATGTGATCATAAGTGGGCGGTGCCACGCCCATTTTCCAAAATTTTATCATAAACGTATTTCTTGGTAAAGAATTGTTGCAAGCATCAATTTTGAGTAAATTATCTTTAATATTTATTGATTTATCGAAGATTTCGTATTTCTCCAAATTACCGTTATATGGGAGGTAGGCGTGGTTATTGT